GAGCCTTCTCTAGATTTTTAGAGCCTTCTCTACTTTCGTAGAGCCTTCTTTACTTTCAGTAGGAGGCTTAAAATGAATTCCAGTATGATGTAAGGCTCATATGAATGTGTTTAAAAAACCTAATGAGCTAATTTTATGTTCTTTGAGAGATGAGATGAGAATGATATGCATGAATTGTAATTTTGAGCTTCAAAATATATTCAACTAAACTTTGACATTGAACCTTAGTATCTTACCATCCTATCTACCCTTTTCTTCATTTCTTGATCATGATCGTCTAGGCTTGATGAATGATCTTTGAAGACCGAGTTCTTCTTTATTTTCTTGCACTTTGATGCTTCTTTGAAATCATTGCTTGAGTGTTTGGAATGCTTGAAATGGAACTTCTAGCTCATCATTAAGGATTGAATGATTGAACAACTATACTTCACTCAATGAAAATATTAGTACATAAACATCATTAATGGATTGTAATCATCAAAACATAAGATTGACCTTTAGATAAAATCTTTAGGCCAACAAATCCTTCTCACAGGATCGAGGCAGAACAAAGCAAAGTCGGAAATCGATACAGAGAGCCTCCTTCCCTGCCTCTGCGAAATCCCCAGTCTCAAATAGGCACAACCTTCTGTGTTAAGGAAAAGACAGAGAAAATTACCTATTTCGGCCTACAGATCTAGGATCTTAAGGCTAAAATGGAAGATGTTATGCAGGCTATGAAAGGGAAAAGTTTTGCCGCCATTGATGACCTGGTGCAAAGGACCAACTTGCCATTCAGCCCCGCTGTTATGAAATGCCCCCTACCTAGCAAGTTCAGGATGCCCTCGTTCGAAAGCTTTGATGGGACCAAAGATCCCCTCGATCACCTGGAGACCTTTTAAGCTCTTATACATTTACACGCCGTGCTAGATGAAATCATGTGCCGAGCTTTTCCCACTACACTTAAGGGATCGGCAAGAGTTTGGTTCAACAAGCTGAAGCCAGGAACCATCAACACCTTCAAAGAATTGAGTAAGCAATTTGTGAGCCACTTCATTGCAGGTTAGAAGCATAGGAGGCCGGCCACCTACTTGCTTACCGTGAAACAACAGAAGGGATAGTCGATCCGGGAATACATCACCCGATTCAACATAGAGATGTTGCAGGTAGAAGAGGTGGACGACAAGGTGGCTTTAACCACTTTTATAGGAGGACTCCAAACCTCTAGATTCTTATTCGCCTTATCTAAAGAACCTCCCACCAGTATGGCAGGGTTGTTGATCAGAGCGTAGAAACACATGAATGCTGAAGACGCCGTATATGCACGGACGGGAAAGGAAGAAAAGGACAAGAAGAGGTCAGCCCCTCTCACAGGGATGAAAAGGTTACCAGCTATAAAAGATCATTCTTTAGCCAAAGCGATGAGGAGGACTCAGAAGAATATACCAACTAACAATTGTCTCACAGTTGGAATTAGCCTTATCAAGTCATTCAAAATAAAGACTGGAGGCATCTCAGTTAATCATTTTAAATGGAGGGTAGCTCCTTCACGTGTCATTTGGGAGTGACGGGTTCCAGATAGAACGGGATGCGATGTCCGATGGGCTATGATCGTTTCTAGTATTGGTACGCTGTGAGCAATTGGTGCTCTTATCTGATTGGTTTTGGTTAGCATGGGTGTTGCAGAGTAGTATATGTGAGGTTCGGTGTTGATAGTGTTTGACGGTCCGTTAGTTACTAGATCGCCTAGATTTGAGTTCGTAGTTCTGTACGGGTATCCGTTTGGTTCTTCTCCTTTTGTGTAGGGAGTTCAATTCATCTCAGGTGAGATTGGGTGTCCACGGTTGGACGATTGGTGAGTAGCGTGTGATAGGGTGTCAGGTGCATTCAGGTACGAGTTGTCAGTCTCTTGTGAGAGCGGGGTTCGTTACCTTTTCCATTTGTTCTAGTCCTGGCAAGGACGTCGTTTGTCGTGAGTCTTGTTTTCCATTTAGGAGTTGTGCGCATCCATGGGTAGACGGACCTGTGTGTGATTTGTTATATTGTTGAGTTCATCGGTAAAGGTTTGGTTGGTTTGGTCGACTCACTCCCACGGAGGGAGATAAAGTCATTGGTTTTTAGTAGTGCTTATTTTTAGGGTGGATTGACAACACGAGTTCCCAAATAGGGATTGTGTTTCCAGTGTCCGGTACTTTCGGTAATGGCTATGGGTGTATCGTGAATTGTAAGCTTGAGGATGGTTAGGTGATGTGATGTGAGTTATGTACTCGGATGTTTTTATAGGCATTTGATTCAAGTAGTGTCTTGAGGATAAGTGTCGATGTCGCCTTAGAACTACGTGATTAAAGAAAGTGAATGTGGGATTCCGTTGAGGAATAATGGGAATGATTGATTTTAGTTTTGAGGTTTCAGGCATGAGACGGTCGTATTGTGTGTCTTGAAGAAGTTAGAATTGGACTGAATGATGTCATGGAGTTGTTTGCCTGGTATGGGTGTTATGAGGAGATTAGAGATCTTTTATGCTGGTTAATGATTGTGACGTTTGGTGCCGTATTGTTTCCAGCTTGTTAGAGGTTCTGTGATTAATGTACGATTGGGATTTTTAGAGTTGGTATGTGACTGTATGATTGTCGAGGTTATGTAGAGTGGCAGATTGATTAGAGAGAGGATCTTGTGGTTGTTTTGTGGACTGTATGGAGTTATGCATGAGGTTTAGACCTGAGGACAGGAACGACGTCAGTGTTGAGATCGGATTGATGATGAGAATGGCCTAGCCAACCATTTCTCCCGAGTCAGTCCATCCTTAGCACGATGTCGGGTCAAAAGTCCATGATGATTTTAGTTTGTCAGGAGCAGTGAGGGCATAACATTGTATGTTGTGTCGGTGTGACAGTGTGGACTTCGATGGTTTGTCTCGAGTGACGTGGTGTGTTAGGACCAAGTGTCCGATAAAAGGGTTTGTGGTAGAATCATTGATTATTAAGGATCTTGTTTTGGGGATTTATGTCCAGAATATAGGATAGTACGTTTTATCGTTTTGATGACTTATGGTTATGTAGTCATTGGGAAATCTGTTGTTTCGTCTCCTTTAAGTTGTTTGGTATGATGATTGTCATATGGTGTGGTGGTGTAGCTGTGCGGTGGATAGTGAGTACTTGATCCGACAGGGACATGTAAGTTTGAGTTTGCGCTTGATTGTATGATGGACGTTCCCCTGTTCGGGTCTAGTACGTCTTTTAAAGAACGAGTTGGGATAGGATAATGTCATGTTAAGGGGTTTTGTGACCGTTCTTCTTTCGAGCCCTGAAGTCTCGTGTAGCAGTGCATAGTGGACCAATGTCCATTTCGAGCCGGATACAGCGTAGGGCGTACCAGATGGTCTGGTTTTATGATGTTGTGAGTGATGAGTACCCTCACGCGGTGGTGAGCATTGGGTTGTTTTGATAACAGTGTGTGATTGCCTATTGGCATTGGGTGTTAAAGGCAACAAAGTTGTTGAGTTCTTAGTCACGGGGTTCGGTGAGGTGTTCTCGGAAGGTGTGTGGCTGTGGGTTTCCTTCTTTAAGGAGGATAAATTTCGAGGACGAAATCTTTTAAGAACGGTAGATTGTAATGTTTATGATATATATTAATGTGTGTGTGTGTGTCTATATATATATATATATATATGTATATGTATTTATGGTGTGTATGTGTATTGGGTGTGGTAGAAAAGGAAAGAAAAAAGTCAAAGTGAAAGTGGGACCTACCACTAATGCACTTAAAAGGCTTAAGGCCACATTTTTGTTTTTTAGTCCTCATTTGTGAGAATTTGTACACACAAATTGAGTGTGCTGGGGATTGTTTTGAGGCATTAATTAGGGAGTCCTTGGTAGATGATAGTATGAAATACATTAAAGTAAGACATTAATTAAGGAGTCTTTGGTAGATGAGAGTTTGAAACAATTTAAAGTTAGACATTAATGGGGGAGTCCTTGGTAGATGAGAGTACTAAAGACATTCAAGACATTGGAGTTGATTAGCTAGGTCTATCTTTTAAAGTGATTTATAACTTAAAATGGGACCTAAAATAGAATTTTACTTCAGGCAATCAATGACCATAGCAATTTTTTACTTTGACAAATATAATTAACTAGAAGTCCTCAATAGCAATTTTTTTTCCTGGGATAGCTTAAATAATTATTAGTAATACCAATTGAATCACGCAATTGATAGAGTCAATCTCACATGTGATTTGTTGTCGCGCATATAGATAGAAAGACTTCTGAGCGGAAAAACATACTGTAATAAAAAATCTACTGTATATTTGAGATGCCACTGTGTTCAAAATACAGAGAACAAAATGGAACAATACGGAAAAACATACCCTGTAATAAAAAATCTACTGTGTTTAAATAAACGAGAGGGCTAGGGAAGGAATGATGTATGAGTTAAAAGAGAATAAAGAATAGTGTTCTCGCGTCTTGTTTGGATAAACAGAGAACAAAATGGAAGGACTTGTTTGGGAAAAACTAATGGAGAGAAAAGAAAGGAAGTGAATGTTTACTATGTGAGTGGAAAGGATTGAACGGGAATTCAATGAAAATTAGGGATAAAATGGGTGAGGACTAACTTATCATATTCTTTCATATCCTCCACTTTTGGAAAGAAGACAAAATGAGTGTTTCAGGGTTTAAAAACCTTTCCCTTTAACTCTCAGTTTTTAACCAATCATAACCTTTCCATCCTTTTATTTTTTTCTCTACTAATTCATTTAATTCAGGGTACCATTCGTTTCAGTGTTAAATGTTTTACATTAGAAAATATTTTTTATGGCTCCGTTTGGAAATAGTTTTTGTTAATTTTTTTTAAAAAAAAACTCACAATAGACCACTTGAAAAGCATGTATATAAATGCAAATATTAGCATTTTATAATTATATCAGCATATGTATAGGAACAGGACATTATGTATAAGAGTATGGACAAAAACATGCACCAAGTGCATTTCTATGAACTTATATTTACATGTACATAAATTTGCTTGTATTTGTGTATAGGTGTATATATATGTTCAATGCTTGTATAATTTCTAATTTCATTCTTTCAGAGAACCAAACATAACAATGTTTGTGTATATATATGTGCACACTGTCCGCCAGTATACTAATATTTTGGGATGGCTTCTTGATGGCACTCTGTATATCATTCTTTGATCCGTCTTAAGACAAATAATATCGCATAGCACCAGCATTGTTGATTGAGATTACATAGGCTGTGAGAGTATTCATACAAATTGGATATCAAGATTGACATCAAAAGGGTTCCAAAGAAGAAGACTCTGATTGCAGCCATGGAGGCTAGCTGCTGGTGAGTATCGTGTCTTTAAACTTGATGTTTTCCTATTCCTGTTGTCATCCACATGTTCCCGAAATTGAACTGCCATTCTGCGCTGGCAGATGTGAAGAACAAATGGGAGAACAGTTCCTGGGGCAGGAAGCTAATTGTGCAGAAGAGAAGGGCCTCACTCAACGATTTTGATAGGTTCAAGCTTATGTTGGCAAAAATTAAGGTTTGAAATAATTACAAACTCGAGTTTTCATTATATTCGTAGTTGTTTTGTTTCTATATCAACTATTTGACTTCACAGACAGTTGTTCTTTTACACCACCAATATAATAATGTGTTCCTCAAATGTGACTTTGCAGAAGGCTGGTGTCATTAGGCAGGAGCTTGGAAAGCTTCAAAAGGAGACCAAGCCTAAAATATGTCGTCTTTAGTGTGTGTGTTAAATCTTTACCAAGAAGTTGCATTGGGTCTTGCCTTTTGGGTTTATTTTCATTAAATTACTAGAAGAAACACTTGAAATTTTTATTATTTTATTTTATTTTATTTGCTTCTCAGATCCCATTCAAACTCTATTATTAATATATTGGGCCTTGTTTAATGCATGATCTTCAAGCGGGCATTGGTAGGCCCATGGTTGTTGTCTGACAAGCCTGATATAATTGTGAGGTTCTAGATGCTCTATGGGGGGATAATATGAAAATTATTTAATGTATATTTTAATTCAGTGATTAAACAAGTTGATATATTAACGTATTATGTCTATTTTTTATAATTTTTAATGACCACCGTGAGTTGGATGCTATTTTTATAGAAAAATGAGAATTATAGGACATGGTCCACTACAGTAACCAAAGTTTTATTGGTTTATTTAACCTATGTTGATATGCGTGTGTATATATCTGTGAGTATATATATATAATTATGTATATGTGAGGAAGTTGCCTTACTTGACTTTGTGTCTCCACGTGATAAGCAACCCTAAATTAATCACTATAAATCAATGTGACCTGAAATTTTGAACAAAACCAAATATGGCATTTTTTCAAAAGCACAACATTTTTCTTTTCCTTATTCTTGTTTTCTCTTCACTTCCATCCACAATCATATCATCAGGAAGGACAGAAGCAGAAGCTCTTCTAAAATGGAAGAATAACTTGTTATCTTTTAATAATTCCATCACTTCATGGTCTGTCACCGACCTAAAAAATCATTGCAATTGGACTGGCATTGTTTGTCACAGTGCTGAAACAGTATCCGAGATCAAGCTGTTCAATTCAAATTTGAATGGAACACTGACCCAATTCAATTTTACTTCATTTCCATATCTCACCCATTTCAACCTCAGTTGGAACCAACTCAATGGGCCAATTCCACTTACAATTGGCAATCTCTCCAAGCTCGTTGTTTTGGACTTGAGTTTCAATAATTTTGAGGGTATCATACCTTCAGAGATTGGGTGGTTGACGGAACTTGGGTACCTTAGTTTTGGCTTCAACAATCTCAGTGGTACCATTCCGTATCAAGTTAGCAATCTACAAAAGGTATGGCACTTGGACCTTCAAGGGAACCATTTAGAAACTCCAGATTGGTCAAAATTCTTAGGCATGCCTATGTTGACTCATCTTTTATTTCTTTCCAATGAACTTACCTCCAAATTTCCAGATTTCATACTCCATTGCCCCAACCTCACCTTGCTTGATTTGTCATGGAACAATTTTACTGGCCTAATACCTGAGTTGTTGTTCACCAATCTTGCCAAGCTTGAATATCTTTCTCTCTCCAATAATTCATTTCAAGGGTTATTGTCATCAAATATTTCAAAGCTTTTGAAGCTCAAAGATCTTGGTCTGGGTGACAACCAGTTTGTCGGTTCAATTCCTGAGGAGATTGGATTACTTTCAGATCTTCAATTCATTAGGTTGTTTAACAATTCATTCCAAGGAAATATTCCTTCTTCCATAGGCCAACTCAGAAAGCTTCAAACACTTGATTTACAAATGAATGACTTGAATTCTACAATTCCTTCTCAGCTTGGCTTATGCACTGAGCTCACAAACTTGAGGCTTTCTATAAATTCACTTACCGGACCCTTACCTTTGTCCCTGTCCAATCTGACCAAAATATCTTATTTGTACATATCAGATAATTTTCTTTCCGGCGAAATCTCACCTTATCTTGTCACCAATTGGACTGACTTGGAGTTTTTACTACTTCAAAACAATTCCTTCACTGGCAAAATTCCACCTGAAATTGGCCTATTGACAAACCTCAGATACATTTTATTGCGCAATAATCAACTCTCTGGCTTCATTCCACCTGAGATTGGAGTCCTGAAAGAATTGTGGCATTTGGACCTTTCGGCAAACCAACTCTTAGGTCCAATTCCTCCAACAATTTGGAATCTCACAAATCTCATTTCCTTGAACCTCTTTGACAACTATCTTAATGGAACAATTCCACCTCAAATTGGGAATTTGAAACTACTGACTGCTTTTGATCTGAGCAAAAACCAATTAAATGGTGAAATCCCACCTACCATTTGCAACTTGAGTTCCCTTGTGATTCTTAATCTATCTAATAACAGCTTCATCAATGTGATTCCACAATGTCTAGGAAACATTAGCAATAAACTCTCTGTGCTAGATCTGCGGATGAATCGCTTTCATGGGACTGTTCCAACAATATTCACAAAGTGCAATAATTTGAGAAATCTGGGGTTGGGTGGAAATCACTTGGAAGGGCCGGTGCCGCGAAGTTTGGTCAATTGTAGACAGTTGGAAGTTGTTGATCTGGCTAACAACAACATAAGTGACACATTCCCCCATTGGATGGATGATCTTCCAGAGCTGCAGGTTCTTGTCCTGCGATCTAACAGATTTGGAGGTACAATAAATACTTCCATGACTCAATTACCCTTTCTTAAGCTGCGAATAATCGACCTCTCTCGCAATGAGTTCACCGGCCCCTTGCCTACAAAATATTTCAAGAATTTCAAAGCTATGATGAATGTTGATGAACATAAAGTGGGTCGTACATACATGGGGGAGAAGAAGTATTATTATCGAGATTCAGTGAAGGTGGTGGTGAAAGGGCTAGAGCTTCAACTTTCGAGAATCCTAACCATCTTCACAACTATTGATTTATCCAGCAACAATTTTCAAGGGGAGATTCCTGACTTCATTGGAATGCTTCATTCACTTCGGTTGCTCAACTTATCTCACAACAGTCTTGCAGGACATATTCCATCATCTCTAAGAAATTTGACTCGGCTTGAATCATTAGACCTTTCTTCAAACCAGTTAGTGGGGGAGATTCCTTGGCAATTGACAAGCCTAACATTTCTTTCAATCTTGAACCTTTCTCAAAATCATCTTGTTGGACCAATACCTCATGGTCAACAATTTGATACATTTGAAAACAATTCATACTCTGGAAACCAGGCATTATGCGGTTTGCCATTGACAAAGAAATGTGGAGACGATGAACCACCGCAGCCACCAACATTGCCACATCAAGAAGTTGATTCAGTTTTTGAAAATGGATTTACTTGGAAAGTTGTAGTGCTGGGATATGGATGTGGGTTTTTATTTGGATTGGTTACGGGTTGTCTTGCCTTCTTAACTGAAAAACCAACATGGTTTGTAAATATTATTGAAGGAAAACAACACGAAACTGGTAAAGGAAGGAAGAAGAGCGGTCAAGGACGTGCTAGGAATATAATTCAGCGAACACAACAAGTCAACTAGCGGTGGTAATGTATCTTTGTTGATCGAATTTGTTACTACTTAGTTGTTCTATGCTGCTTTCTAAATTACTAATAGTAGTTTGTATTTTAATCAAGTTTTATGCCTGAATGTTAAAAAAGAAAAAAAAAAAACAAAAAAAAAAAAAAAAAACAAAGAAGAAGAAGAAGAAAAAGGTTCCAGATCTTGTCAAAGACGAGATTGGAGTCTTTTTGTGCTGATCGGACAGAATGGGAACCATATTATGCGGTTTATACCCCATTAGGGTCGGTATGGTATTCTTGAAATCCTAAAAATTATGATTAGCCCAATGTTTGAATCCTCTCTTTCGGGCTTTAGGTCCTTGAGAGACCTCGAGTGAACCCACTTAAGAAATGTTTGGGCTAGGGTTAGAAACCCTATTCTGACTAAATCTAAATGAACTAACTGGTGTAAACCCGCACCCCTTTTTCGTTGACTAAAAAATAAAGGGACAAGTTTAAGAGATGTTACTATGCAATAATTGTGGAATATTTGGAAATCTCCTTCTTCTTATTTATTTATTTATTTATTTTATTTCAATAAAGTATTTGCCCCTTTCGTTTCGAAATTTCGTTATTTTGTCTTGTTAACAATTATTTATTATAAAATTTGTCTTGTTAACAATTATCTATTATAAATTTTTTAGCTGTTTAAATTAGTGTAACTTAAATATTTTAATCCTTCAATAAGCCTTTAGCATGTTTTGAATCTTAATCTATTTTCTTGTTATAAAATTCCACTTCTATGATGATATATATATATATATATATATATATATACTTAAAAATAACAAATAAAGATTGGTTGATAAAGTTCCTATTTAAGTTGTGTAAGATTGATTGAGACTCACGTATGAGGCTTGACTTGGCACATTGGGTTCTACTTCAAGTGTGGCTCCAATTTGAGCCGAAAACATTGAATGATATAAATGCATGCAGACATATAGCCCACATAGCAAGAGTCGGTCCTCAAGTCAACCCATTGTAAGTCGGTCAACATTGTTGGAATGATTCACCTCCTCAAGTTGGAAATTTCTAAGAAGGTACATAAAGGCGCATATATATATATATACATACATATATATATATATATATATGTTGGACAATACTTTGGTTATATGTCTGCATGCATTTATATCATTCAATGTTTTTGACTCAAATTGGAGCCACACGTAAAGTAGAACCCAATGTGCCAAGTCAAGCGAGTCTCAATCAATCTTACACAACTTAAATAGGAACTTTATCAATCAATCTAATAACATTCTAAATCAGTCTCTGTTTGTGCAAAATAAGGGTTTGGGTTATAGATGATAACAAAAACATCATTTTATCAACTTTGAAGAGAACAAAGAAGATCAAAAGAGAGAACTAATTTTGACAAAGCTTATATGAGAACTACTTGGACCCCCAAGCATTAGCCTGAGTTTATACATAGCGTATCCACCTGTAAGCACTTATCAAACAGTTGTGAAACTCTCCATTAGACAATACAAAGATGGTCAAGAACCAAATAAATACTAAATGGATTGTTGCAAACCTGCTCAGAACACAGGAAAGAAATGTTAACACCTAAAATATAATTCGAGGCAATCATGCCACGTGGTCAAAGAATATGAGGTCCGAACCTTGGGTCAACCTATGATCATTAGGGTGAAAGATTAATTTCTAATCAGGGTGATCAGGTATAAGGTTGGGGGTTAAGAAGAGTGGAATTTTTAGGCCATTAAAGCTGAGATGAGGTTTTGAGCTTATAACCGGTCACAATTGGGACTCTCAGTCTCAATGGTCATGATCATGAGTTCAGGCCAAAATCTTCTCAGTCACTATGGTCATAAGGTTCTCAATGGTCATGATCATGAGTTCAGGTCAAAATCTTCTCAGTCACTATGGTCATAAGGTTCTCAGTCATCATGATCATGAGTTCAGGCCAAAATCTTCTCAGTCACTATGGTCATAAGGTTCTCAATGGTCATGATCATGAGTTCAGGCCAAAATCTTCTCAGTCACTATGGTCATAAGGTTCTCAGTCTCATGATCACGAGTCTTAGGCAAAAATCTTCTCAGTCACTACTGTCATAAGGTTCTCAGTCTCATGATTATGAGTCTTAGGCCAAACCTTCTCAGTCACTATGGTTATGAGAGTCTCAGTCATCATGATCATGAGTCTTAAGCCAAAATACTCTCAGTCACAACTTTCTCAATCACAACGGTCATGGTCAGGAGACCCTCAGTTATAATGGTCACAATCCAAAGTCTCTCCAAAGACTCATAACCAGCCATGATCAAGAGTCTCGATTGTTATTTCTCTCGGTCACAATGATCATAAGACTCTCGGTCATAATGGTCATGATCATGAATCTTAACCAAGATTTCTAGTCACTATGGCCATGATCAAGACTTATGACCAAATATGGTCATGATCAAGGGTCTCGGGTCATTATCACTTGAGGAATCTTTGGGGTAATTCAAATGAAGACCGGTTGTGAATCCCAATGTTTCAAGAACCCAACAAGTCAGGTCTAGAAGTTTGAAGAAAGCTTAAAATAGAAAAGGACAACTTGACAATGTTAGAAGTTCAGAACTACAGATGGAAGGTTCTCACCAACATCTGATGAGGGAAGTCAGGATTGTCAGTAATCAGATGACTCCAGGCTAATGTACAAATCAAGCCAGACATGACAGGTGTAGAGAGCTGAAAATGGCTTGAAGACCAAAATCATCAAGCATGAAAGAATAGGCACCATTTAGTCAAAAATACTATGTCAGACATACTTGTATCTACCTATAGAGGGATGTACAAGTTAGTCAACCTTACCAGCTCAGCAAGGTGGTTAGGAAAAGTCACTTTCGGCTTACAACCAATCAATTTCTAGAGAAACGGTTGAAAGGGACAACACCAGGTGGAAGCCTTTATAAATACCCACTCAAGCATCACAAGGAAGAGGTCCAAGACCATTTCTAAAGTTCAACCTTTAGCATTCCTATCATTTAGCACTTAGCTTTTATTTCATCAAGCTCAGTTTAGCACTTAGCTTTTATTTCAGCAAGTTTAGCTTAACACTATTAGTTTAGTACTTAGTTCATCTTCCAGCATTTAATACTTTAGTTTCCATTTCAATCAAGAGTTTGTAATTCATTCATCATTGTAATCAGTCAAGATCAATGAACAAAGGTTTGTAGATTCAGGTATATTTATTGTCTAGTTAAGTTGCTTCTAATTCATGTTTATCTGGAGTGTTTAAAGTCCTTTCTTAAAGGCAATAGCAACCTTAAGGAGAGGGTCATTCCTACTCTCCAACTTTCGCCTGAATCACCTTAGGTCGGTGACCCGACCCGATAGGAATAGTTTGGCAAGAAATATTCGAGTCCATTAGGACTCTGGCACGCCCGCGTTCTAGGTCAGCCGTTCATTGGTTAGCGACCTCAGACCACTTTGTGAGCCAAACAACTTTGGCACGCCCGGTGGGACTTGTGTTTTATTTGTGAATGGTCGTCGAGACTAGGTCACAGACTCATACTTCAGCTGGACAAGCTAACCCTCAAAGGGAAGATCAGGAAGAAAATCAGCCTGCTCCCATCATGCAAGATTCCGGGTCTGAGCATGAAGAGGGACATCAGGCCAGCCACCAAATGGCGGCCGAAAGTGTCAGCAATATGGTGACACGATTTGAAAGTAGAGTGGAGGCTTCCCAACGCCAAGTCGCTTCCCATTGGTGGCTTCATCTCACATGACTAATACTCAGCTCCAGCAGCTGAATGAGGTGATTAATGCCTTAGTAACTTGTATTGATAGGCAGGTTATTGCTCAGCCGCCTAGGTTAGAAAACCAGAACGATAGACCCGTGGACCAGTTTCTTCCTCAACAAGTTGGTCAACCAGAAAGAGGTGCCCAGCCACATCCCATGGTTAATGGTCCTCGACCAGTAGCTCCAATTCCACCACAAGTCCATCCAGTAGAGCAAGGAGTGAATGGTCACCAACAACCAAGATGGAGGAATCATGACCAACCTAATGGTCGACCTCCTCATTTTCAACCTCAAGTCTTGCCACCTCAGGCTGCAAACCCAGGGGGGCAAGAGGGACATAACCCTTGGCCCAATGTCCCTTTTTCAAAACCAAGTCCCACCTATGGTCATGACTAGGGAGCAATTGGCTGAGGTCATACAAGAACAGTATGGACTAGCTTTAAAAAGGGCTACTCGACCTACTTTTAGGCACCCATTTCCTGACTGGATAGATCGGATGGATCTTCCCCAAAATTTTTGGGTGCCAAACTTTGCAACTTTCTCAGGAGAAGGCAACCAATCGACTCTAGAGCACATTGGCCGTTTCACATTAAAATGTGGGCCACTCAACAACAACGATTGGTATAAAATGAAGCTATTCTCTAACACCCTTACTGAGACTGCCTTCAAGTGGCATCTAAACTTGCCACCAAATTCCATCCACACTTGGCAACAGATGCAGGATGTGTTCCATGATCAGTTCTATAGGACAGAACCAGAAGTCTCTATGTCCGACCTATCTAGGATCCATCAGTTGCCAAATGAGGATGTTGAGACATTTTTGGCTAGGTTTAAGAAGGCACGAAATAGGTGCCAACTTACTTTGCCTGAAGAAGAATTTGTCAACTTGGCCCTTAGCAGTTTAGACTTTGAATTACGAAAGAAGTTCGAGGGTACTCATTTTGGAGATTTGTTCCAATTAGCCGATAGGGTTACCAAGTATGAAAAAATCTTACGAGAGGAAAACGAGAGGAAAAACTCCTCTCGAGGGACCTATTATAAGGACCCTAATTATGAAATACACATGGTTGATATAGTATATGATGACCTAGAGGTCGATGCTGTTGAAATTATTTCAAAAAAACCATATGTATGTAAAGCTTTAGCTAAGCCCTTAGAGACTGTTAGCGGTGTTCAACCCTCATCATCTTTAGCCAAAAGGAATATCTTTGAGGCTGGCAAACAATATGCTTTCGATATAAG